CTTCTCGCAAATATGCTATATTTAAAAGACCAAATAATTATGGAATAACGCCTTAAGAAAGGAAGGCAATATTTCCACTAACGAACGTAACCACTCCAGGAAAAATGCCCGTGCCCTGTCCAAAAGGAGACTCAGACAACACCACAAAGTCGGCAAACTTTCCTTGCGTCAGCGACCCAACCAAATCCTCCAATGCAGCTGCATACACACGGTTTGGCCTTTACTACGGCCTTTTGGACGTCCTGTGGTTTCCTCCTGTGATGTTTTCCTTCCTGGTGTTAGAGAGTAACTGAGGATCAAACGAAACAAACCTTGCCATGTAAGATTGCACTGCCTGAGCAAAGCCAGGCTTGTACGAGAAGAGAAGCCCACGGAAGAGTTTCCCATCGATGGAGGCTTCTAGAATGTATCTGTAGTTGAATACATCGCTTTCTCTAGCCTCGAACATCTTCTCACCTAGCGGCTGAAACTCTGTAGGATGAGTTTGACAGGGAAAAATTGGAGAGGTCCAAGGTTTTCCGCAGATACCTCCGTGAGATGAAACCAAGCTCTTGTCCGCATCCCGTTGCTTGTCTAGAACGAATGGCGTGGCATGATACTTTTGCCGCCTTCTCTTACGTTCCTTACGCATGGATAGCTTTGGTTCTGATGGATCTTTCTCCCTCAGCATCTCTTCACAGAAAAACGGCAACCATATTGTCAAGAATGGCAGCAATGTCAATAAAAGGGAAATACATGTCATCCAAAGCTTCAAGCTCTTCGTTACATCCCTCATAGAAGAATAATATGCCTCGCTCTGCATCCACGGAATCTCCTGCAAGGGAGAAACGTGGAGAAGGCCTGGGACCTCGAAGTTGCCCAAACACCAGTTGCTACAAAATACATAAAAGCCCCATGAGAGACCAACAGGAAACAAATCTACCTACAAGCGAGATACTTTCCATGGCTGATTGTTGTGTGCCCGGCTCCTGGCATCAGCTCGGCACCAGTCGTCTTTACCTCCCGCCATGCCATTGTTTCTGGATTACCACTGTCCTCGCCACCCATGACAACGAAACAGTTCTTATAGGAAGAGCAGGTATGGCTATCCCAAGGAATAGGTGAGACTCCAGTGGTAGAAATCTTCTTCCAGACAAAAGTATCTACAGGAAAAAAAAAAGTTTAGAAGAAAACAAGGAAAGATAACAGAATATTACTCGTGTTCAAAACATGGAGGACATTGTAGTACTCCTACTCTGAGGGATTGCTGGATTTCCCACATCCCCCAAACACGAACAGGTTGTCACCGATGAGAGATGCGCTATGTCCTCTCGGAGCAGGAACATCACCAAAAACGTCGGGTTTCCCCCAGGTGTTGGTAGCTGCATCGGATGATAAGAACGAGAAAAAAAATGATAGAACTCGGAGCTTACCATTATCCAAAACAAAGAGATCGTCGAGTGTGCTGGTTCCATCAGTACCACCAAACACATAGAGCTTAGACCTGACTGCTGTGGAGCTGTGGCTGTCCCGAGGAGAAGGGTGCGTTCCTTTCATCACAGGCTTGTGTGTGTGTGTGTGTGTGTGTGTGAGAGAGAGAGAGAGAGAGAGAGAGAGAGAGAGAGAGAGTACCTTCCCACAAGCAATGATCGACGCTGTCTCGTGGTCATGCGCCCTAAAAGACAATTGAAAATTTTTATGATCCCAAAAGTCACGACTCTCCATTGTTTAATCTCAGCTATTAGATTTTGGCATATGCCCAGAATAAGTGTCCTCAGTATATGCTATTATCATACCAGCTCTTTCGTTTAAATATATGAGTTTGATGATGATATGATGATGATGATGATGATGGTGATGATGATGATGATATATATATATATATACACACTACTACTTTTTTCCATCTTTCTTTTGTTTCTTCTTCCACTTCTTTAGTTCCTTTTTAAAACCAAGACGTGATTTAAATCCACGGTATATTCTTTGGATCTTCATTGTTGCTCTTAATCTCATTTCGTTCAGCCCTTGTTGCTCAATAGTAACATTCTTTTTTCTATCAATCTCCTCTTCTTCCATCTTTCTCTTAGCCATTTTCTCTATATAACTGGCTCAAAACTTAATATTTGTTAAACTTGGAAATTGAGAAACTTTAGCTTGTTACCGAGGCTCAAGCTCATCAATGATAATTTGTTTATCATTTCTCTGCTCTCTTATTTTTTTAATCATGAGGTCCATCTGCACCATATCTAACTCCAAACCTGCTTGCAGGTTAATTGCCTCTTCCATGAGTTGTAAGTTTTGATTTTTAACAAACTCCAGGCACCTGTTAGTGATTTTTTTCTCAACCTAGTCCAGCATTTAAAAAAAAAAAATTAAAAAATCATAGAAGTTGTGATCGGCAGACCTCAATTTTGCTTTTAAGCCTATCAGAGTGGTCCCGCAAAGATCTTAAAGCTATGTCACGGTCTCTTCGATTGCAGTCAGCTGTGGCAGAAAGTACATCTGCCCTGTAGTATTCTGCTCTTTAGAATATAAACATTTACAGAAGCATCGCTACCTGAATTTTGCTTGAATTTTATTCTCTTTCTTCAAATCTTTTATTGCCTGAAGTGGGGAGTTAGCCATTTCATTTCAAAGTTAAATTACCTGTTTCAGGGATAATAGCGTTTTATTCCACTCTCTCTCCATAACTTTATGGGTTGCTGCTTCTGACTGCAGGCTCTGCCGAAGCTCATGCATCTCGTGAGTGAGCTGCCTTATCTTTTCCAGCGCTTTAGGTAAATGACGCTCTCTGCGTTCACCTTCTTCGACAGTTGCGTCCAGGTTTGAGAAACCAAGGTGTTCTTCGACCTACATTGTAAAAGAAAAAGTCGAATATAGACTAAATCGAGTATTACTTCCTGCAATGTCTTCGAGAAAACACCTCTGAGCCATTTTGCTTCTATACCAAATTTTGATGGTTTGGCTCCCCGATGGAATGGCCGCAACACAAGTGATGCATTGTCAAGCATCATGGCCTTTAGAATTTCGTACCCGTCATTTATTGTACTCATTGAAATGCTAGAGTCTCCAGCCTGAACACAAAGGAAACTAAGAGCAAGTAAAAACAAGAGAGATCTTACTGTATCAGCACCAGGAAGAAGAGAGACCAGCTTGAATCGTTCAATAAATCCAGCCAGAAATCCCATCAGCATCGCTCTTTCAGAACGCCTCACTGACATATCTGGGCTGCCATCTGGAGTATGCCCAAACTCTTGTAGTGATTGGGAAACAGGAGAGAACTGGTTAGTTGCAGGCGCCATCATTTTCTCATCATCATTCTCGTACTCATCGTCCTCCTCATCCATTTCAACTCAAAGAGATCTGAACTATAAATGTAAAAAGCCCTAATATAATATTCTATAATTATTCATCTGGGAACGGAAGAGGCAATCATTCAATCGGCAATGAATACGCAATCGTCATGTGATTCATCTCCGTATGCATCCAGCCGCCAATCTCTTCCGCCGATGAGAGGAGCAGCTGCAGAAGCACTTTTGTCCAGGTTTGAGCCCTTTACAGACACCACATGGGCGCTGGAATTTTCAGATGTGGTGGGAGTTGGAGGTGGTGCTTGGATTCCTCATGCTGCAGCTGCTCCTGATACCTTCCGTCTGCCTACTTGTGCGGAGGCTCGTGATTTTCAGATTCCTAGAAGGTTCTTCTTAGCTGCTTCACGAGACAAGGAAGCATTGCTGGAAGAAAAAGTCAACTTGAAGACCGTACTCAATGCCAAGACCTTCCAGCTGTTTAGCCAAAAGTTGCAAGCCTCGACAACTAGAACGGCAAATAGGTTTTATTTATCCATTAGACAAATAGTACGACGTTTTTCTTTGTTCATCTTTAGAAAGTTGGGAAAGGCGTTAGAGAAGCTGGAATTAGCAAGAGCCAATGCTCCAAGAACTGGTGGCTCGGAGAGGATACAAACTAGACTCAAAGGTAATAATAGTGTGTGAGATAGTTTCAATTTCAGCTCTTCTTCTTTAGGATTAAGAAACAAAGCAGAGGATCTTCGTAAGCTCTGTGAAGAACAACGTGCTGAAATATGTCTGCTGCGCAAGGATTTTCAATTGACACACAACAGAGTAGGAATATCTGCTAGCTATAATGAATTTCTTTCGTTGTTTATGAAGTCTGAAATGACAGGAGACTGAGGTTGAAAGAGATGTTTTTGCTGAAGAAGTCATCAGGCTGCTAATGTACATGAAACGATTGAAGTCCTGGCAGCACAGACTAAGCTGCGAGAACCGGGACCTTCTTGTTTTAAAGGATAAAACAACACTCCTGGATATAGCAAACAAAAGACTTGAAAGCTGCCTAGCCGTAAGAAGTTTCCATTTCAAACTGGAACCTTACGCGAAGCTTTACAGGCCATGGAAAGAAGCACCGAAAAGGCTAAAAGGGAATCTGCATTTTATAGAAAGAAGGTTGAAGCGAGCAAGTTGGCAGCTCCTGACGAGAAAAACTGTCAAGATTTGGAAGCTCAAACCTCCGAACTGGCAGCTAAGCTCGAAGTTGTAACTGCTGAAAAAGAAAAATGGGTACGGAAAGCTAGCAAACTAGAAGCTGAGATAAGGAAAGTTTTGAGAGAGTTAAGAAAAATTGAAGCAGAAAATTTTAAAAATGCTCCTCCATTGCCCATCCCAGTAACGCTGCCACTGTCACCACCTCCACCTCTGCCTCCAAAGAAAGTTGCTTCTGTTCCTTGTGAGTCCAAATTTCGAATTCTAAGCCAAGTTATAAACTTTATGTTTTTTCTTTATACCGGTAGCTACTCCAAAGCCTAAATCTGAGACCCATGTTAAAGTGGACTCCTCATTTAGAGGTATGCCTGATCATAATTTTTATGTTATGATAAACTACATCTATTTTAATATATAGAGGAAGCCATCAGAAAGGCCAAAGAAGAGAAGGAGAAAAAACGGGAAGAAGCTGAAGCATTGAAGAAAAAACAACAAGAAAATTTAATTAAGGAAGAAAAGATGAAAAAGGAGGAGGAACGTCGTAAGAAGGCCAATGAACGGGAAAAGGAAGAAGAATTACGAAGGAAAGAAGAAGAAGAAGAAGAAGAAGAATTACTAAGGAAAAAGGAAGAAGAACGCCAAAGAAGTGAAGAGGAGGACAGGAGGAGAAGAGAAAAAGAAGTAAAGAGAAAGATTGCTGAAGACGAGGAAAACAGAAGGTTGGTTGAGTTAGAAGCAAAGGAAGAACAAAGGAGGAGGGTTGCTGAGGAAGAAAAAAGACGTAAAGAAGCCGAAATAACTGCACGCAAGAAAGAAGAGGAATCTAGAAGGAAAATGGCTGATGATGAAGCTAGAAAACTTGCTGCAGAACACCTGGAAAGAAAAATAGCTGAGGAAGAAGCAAGCCACAATCCAATTGGAATGGTGGCAAGCCAAGAGGTTCTTGAAGGTAAAGCAAGAAGAATAGTTCATAGAAGGAAAGCTGTAGAGGAAGAGGCAAGAAGAAAGGTACTGGAGGAAGAAGCAGAAAGGAAAGTAGCGCAAGAGGAATCAAGGACAGCAGCTAATGAAGAAGAAAAAAGGAATGCAGCTGAAAAAGAAGCACGTACAGGAGCAGAAGAAGAAAAAGAAAGAAGAAATGCTCAAGATGATTCCAGGAGGATAGGTGAAGAAAAAATAACAAAGTCCGAGATAATTGCATTAGCAGTAGACAAGAACACACACAACGTGGATGAACTCGATGGAGCAGCAGAGAATCGAAAAAAGAGACGAACATCTGATGAAAGAGCAGAACAGGCAAGAGGGCAAGCAGAAAGAAAAGCCAAGCAAAAGGAACGACAGGGAGTACTCAAAGACGACGAAGCAGCAAGGAAAGCTGAATCTGATAAATATGCGACAAGAAAGATCTTGGAAGAGGCAAAAAAAAAGTGGGATGAAGAAGACACTGAAAGGCATAAAAAGGGAGCGGAAAATGACCAGAAAAAAATGGAGGAAATAGTTTTTACTAAGGTGGAGAAAGAACAACAACACTTAGGGGCATTAAAACGTACAGAAGAAGAGAACAAGAGAGAGGAAGAAAACATAAAGTATGAACTACAGAAGCAGCAATTACTAGAACTCCAACAAAAACAAAAGAATGAAAATGAATTAAGTAACCAACCAGTGGAAGAAGGGGGGCTGAAACTTGAGGAAAGAAAAAGAAAAGACCAGGAGACGTCTAAAGAAGAGAAAGTGAATGAAAAGTGGCATAATGTAGAAATATTGGGCAAAACATTAGAGCCTCTAGAGCATCCTGAAATGGAAAAGATACAGGAGGAGCAAGCAAAGAGGCTGAAAAAGGAGAAGGAGAAAGGAACCCAACAAGAAACACACCTGAGGTTTCAAGACCAGAGATCAGCGTCAGTGCCAACTCCAAAAGTGTCCACGCCTGTAACCCCAAAAGCTATTCCGGGACCTGTTCGTAGTGCTTCGTTCGCTGCTAGACGAGCAGCCAAAGCCAAAGGACGAGAATATGCTGAGGACACTAAACAAGTAGTGGAGAAAGAGATGTCCGCATTTGCTAAGATGGAAGCACAGCGAGCAAGCATTGGATTTTTGGATCCTTCTATCATTGACATTGTGGAGCTCCATGGAACGCCCAGGCGTAGAATTTATGATGGTCTCGGGGATTTTATGTAACCTGTGATTATTAGATTTGTTACTACTTCATTAGCCTAATTTTAATGCCTAGATAGGAAATTTAGGGCAGAACGTGAAGGATGTTAGTTTCCAAGGCCAGACGTTCAGTTTCTGCTTACGGAGACCGAGCTACTTCTGCACATGGCAGCAACAAGGACGTTTCTGCCGTTCCAGATTTGCTGGAAATGGTGGAATCGAGAAATTATAGCGGTGCTCTAGCACTTCTGCAATTCAAACACCAGGTATGGTAATTCATTCTCTGTTCTGTTATTTTTAGCTTTCTAGGAAAAATCCAGGCAGATATGTCAGACGTCAAGACTCTAGAGTGGTTAGGATTTTGCTACTTTCACAATGGCGATTACAACAGGGCATTAGAAACTTATAAGAAGCTTGAGCCGCTGGATGAAATATACTACATATATCAGGCTGCTTGTTTATATTATTTGGACTCTTACAGGGAGGCTGAGGAGTCAGCTCTGAAAGGTTTTACTAGTTCCTTCTATAGCATGCTAACTTAATGAGTGATTCCTATCTTTCCGGGTACAGCCCTCTTACTCCATCGATGATCAATGTTAGGTGCTACTTGTGGAATTCGAAATCGATTACTTTTCCACGTTGCATATCGTTTAGACAACGACATGAAACTTGTAGAGCATCACAGCAATATAGGCAACAGTGATGAAGACCAACTAAGCTTAGCTTCAATGCATTTTGCTCAGATCCACTACGAAGAGGCAACAGAAATCTACAAACAACTTTTGCTAGAAAATAAGTAAGAAAAATGGTTCAGTTGGTAGGTCTTACTAAGCAAAGTATTTTGCAGGGATTGGATGGCCTTAAACGTGTATTTGGCTCTTTGTTATTATAATTTGGATCAGTACGATGTAAGCCTTGATGTCTTGAGTGGATACTTACAGGTGCGGGTTTCTGACTTAGTTTTATTATAACACTTAATAAACTCGATTACAGTATTACCCAGAAAGTGCCATTGCAACCAATCTGAAAGTAAGAATACACCTGCATATGGCTTCTTCTCATTGTTGCTGACCAGGCTTGCAACACATTTCAACTTTTTAATGGAAAAGCAGCTGAGTTGGTCCTAACTACACCAGAGGAAACTGCCAAAAACTCCCTTGAGCAAGGACTTTTCAAACACAACCTTGTAGTTTTTCGAAACGGTGAAGGAGCCTTGCAGGTTAGCAATGTGTCACATAAATATATGATTTTATATCATTGTGAAGTTCAGGTGCTTCCATCATTGCTCGATGTTCTTCATGAAGCTCGTTTGAACCTTGTGATTTACTATATAAAAATTGGTGGTGAGGCTTTCTCATTTAACTCGTGAACATCTGTATTTGTTTACTACAGACACGGAATTAGCCTATCAGACAGTGAAGATGCACGAGCCGCATATGCCTCAAGAATACGTTGTCAAAGCTGTCACATGTGCTAGTCTTGGGCAAGATACAGATCATGTAGAGCTTCTAAGCATGGCACGACAGTATTTTCATCTTATTGGCACGTCACCAACAGAATGTGATACTATACTTGGAAGGCAGTGCATGGCCTCTTATTATATTTTGCAAAAGCAGTTTAAAGATGCTCTAATATATTTGCAGGTAACTGGAAATTATTTTCAGGACTCGGCTTAGTTTTTTCTTGCATTTGCAGTCAATAAAATCCTTCTGCGAAAACCAAGACGAATTTAATTGGAATTCTGGCATTGTAAAAGCTAGCATAGGTGATTTTAGAGAGGCAGAAGAAAATCTCCTCTTCATTCAGAACACTAAATACCTAGAAAACTATTACTATGTGGCATGGTTGCTTTACTGTTTGATTATGAACGGAAAAGCTAATATAGCCTGGGAACACTTTTTGCGTCTAGAAGCATCAGATGAAACTTTCAGGTGTGCTGTCTATTCATGTCTTTTACTGATATATACTTTTTGTCCATATAGTTTTCTGCAACTGATTGCAAATGAATGTTATAAAACATGCCAATATCTTTATGCTGCTAAAGCATTTGATGCAATTGAGGAAATGGATGAATCAATGGATTGCTGGGAAGGAAAGCGAGGTGCATGCCTTGGTGTTTTACAAAAGGTAATATCTGGAGAGGAACCTTGTGAGAGTATAAAACAAGTCTTTGCTCTCCTGGAAAACACAAATAACCCTGAGGTAATATTTCCATATGAATATCTTTTAATTTTTTCTCTAGGTGGAGTTTTTGTTGAAGGTCATGCAAGATTATTTGAAAGAAATATCATTACAATCCACAACCTTTGCATTTTTATCTACTTCATCAAGCAAACCCATGTCAGATGAATTTTAAAATACCATTAGTCTTTTTGGAGGGTCTTAAGTCCTTTACTGTTAGGCACCACGTCAAAATAATAGGATAAGAAAGGGCTTACAAGCAAGTGATCAGGAATAGAATCAAGTGTAAGGGATAGGATCCTGACATTGGTGTGAGAGGCCACTTTGATTCTCATAGTTGACAAGTAGGAATATTCTGGAGGAATACTTAATATGGTAAGGCTTGGTGGACCCTAAGAAAAGGACCATGGCATGGTGGATCTAGAGAACCATGTTTAGTAGACTTATGAGAAGGATCATGATGACCAAAGGGTGGGCTAAATATAATCGTGGATGATCATTCCCTAGAAATGGAAGGATTGTGAAGCCCTACTGTTAGGATCCTATCCATTACACCCTAAGTCAACTGGCTAAAGGGGTGATCCTTTGATTGCAGGGCCCTTTCTTTATCCTATTATCTTGATCTGGTGCCTAACAATCCTCCCCTCGTCAGGGAATGATCATCCATAATCATACTTAGGCCACCCTCTAGTCACCATGGTCCTTCTCTTAGGGTCTACCAAACCTTGGTTCTCCCTCTAGATCCACCATGTTGAATATTCCTTTAGAATATTCCTGCCCCACTTGTTAGCCACAAGAATCGAACTGGGCTCCGATACCAATGTTAGGATCCTATCCCTTACACCCTAAGCTAACTAGCTAACGGGGTGATCACTTGATTGCAGGGCCCTTTCTTTATCCTATTATCTTGATCTAGTGCCTAACACTTACAATCAAGTGATCACCCCTTTAGTCAATTGGTTTAAGGTGTAAGGGACTATGCTCTACCTCCTCTTGAGGTTCCTCACCACCCAACCACCCCAAACTACCTCAAAAGATCCACTACACTACTGCTCCACTATGAGCTTTTAGGGTAGGTTAAATTCTTTAATGTACCATGCCTTAATACCCTTGATCTTACCTTTGACCCACATTGACCACATCTCAAGCTCAAACTCTTGGTCCATCCTTCATAGCTGTATACATTAAGAAGGTATTGAGCCCATCACTATGAGATAGTATATCTTTCAATTGGTTAACATAAAATACTGAATGAATTTCCACCTTAGTTGGTAGCCACACTCAATAAGTGACTTTACCAATGCACTCCAACACTTCATAAGGATTAGCATGTCTATGAGAAAGTTTGCCACTCTTCCCATTACTCAAAAGCACTAATATGTATTGCCATTCATTTGACGGAAAGATCACTTGTATAAAGATGAGTTCTTCCATCTTGTATTCCTAGAATTGGTGATGCTCATTGGCAAACTTTTTCACACTATTTTATTTTATTCTATTTGCACATTAGCAAAATTTTATCAAGTTCTTGTAAGCAACCAAAGAGAACGACTTGAGAAATGATCCATGGGGTTCAAATATAAAGGGAAAAGGCCCATGAATAAAAGTGCACCCCTTTTCTAATCAGTTAAGGGTCTTGGGATATTTAGGGTTAAGCATCCTTGGGTTTGAATAGTATTGGGCTGGGTGACCTCCCAAGAAGTCCAAATTTAGGAACTTACATTTGGTATCAGAGGGGTCTTAGATCCAACTTTGTTGGTTAGCTAGGGGAATCACACCACATGTTGATTGACATCTGGCTGGTCTAGTTTGCTCCAGCTAGGCTCGACCCGAGGGGTAGAGTGTCAAGAGAGCGGGGCTCTTGAGAGAGCTGTGGCTCTTAGATTCCGTTCACGAGGGCGTGAACTTGCAGGAAAGCGTGGTGGATTGTAAGAAACCAAAGAGAACGACTTGAGAGACAATCTATAGGGTTCAAATATAGAGGGAAAGGGCCCATGAATAAAAGTGCACCCCTTTTTCCAATCGGTTAAAGGTCTTGGGATATTTGGGGTTAAGCATCCTTGGGTTTGAATAGTACTGGGCTGGGTGACCTCCCAAGAAGTCCAAATATAAGAGTTTACAATTCTATGGCACCTCCATGTCTAGCTTGTGTTGAACATCCTTACTAAAATGTTATCCCAACTCTAATTTGTTCAAGGATGCCTTGTAAATATGGCAAAGTAAACATTTAATTTGATTCCACTATATTGGTTATTATTGTAGGTAATTGCACTAATGGAAGATATAGATCTTGTTATCCTTGCCGTTGGCCAATACTATAGCATATCATATCCTCTTCAACCTAATTCACATACTTAGTCTACCCATTCATTTGAAGATGATCTCCATTCGAGAGCTTTAAAGTCACTTATATAGCCTTCATAAAGCTTTTCCAAAATGCATTATTGACTTTGAATCTTGATCACTCTTAATTAGGATAGATCTTTGAACTACTGTGAACTTTTTCTGGAGTTGTTTCCTTGGCGGTATTCTAGACTCGAGTATGCATCGACGAGGACGTCAATCTTCCCAAGGGGGGGAGAGTGTCGCGAATGTGACTTCAGGTATCGAAAGTTACCTGTCGGCTAGTCCTTACGGACACTCTTACCTTACTGCCACAATGGCAGGAGGTCGGTATTGCTGGACCCGTTATCAGTTTCCCACTTGAGCTAGTTGAGAAACTGGTCAATGACCATGAACTTAGATTGGATAAACATAAGGTAGGAACCCTATGTGTTTCTTGCTGAGCATACTCGGCCTGGTTTGAGAAACTTGAGTCATTGGCTTGCACTTGCTAGTATCAAGAACCCCCGCGATATTGAGATTGGTCCCTCAATATCGCTAGATGATAGTTTACCGTGTCTGCCAAACACCCTCGCTATCATGCCCTTTGTGTTAGTCTCATTTTGGTCCCAAATGCTATTTATGGAAAGTGTCCAGATTTGCTCATTTGGCATATCTGCGGAATGTAGAGATTGTCTTGAACACAATGGTGTTCGTCCCGTGCCCAAATTCACAATCTAGGGACATTCCATATTTGGTAAGTTTCGAGCTTGTCCCAGAGACTAACTCCTGATACTAAGGGAGGCTTGGGGTGAAAGCCCAAAGCGTGTGTTCCTCAAGGGCGGGGGGGCTGTGGGGGGTTCCAAATGTATAGTAGGGATAGTGGGTAGGTCAGGCATGGCTGACCAACCTGAGGCATAGTCTAGCTCCCGCTTGCGTGCCTGTCCTTGTTCTGCGTCCGGCTTGGGTCTAAGCCCAAGTTCCATTCCATGCTAGCTGGTGGAGTACCCATATCCTCGCGTTAGGCCACCGGTATGCCGAAATAGTGCCAGACTCCATTTGGCTACATTTTGCATGCTGGTCCTGGCATTGGGATGCTGGTTGCTCCAGGACTGTCCCAAGTCGCTCCGGGCTCTTGTCCCTTCACTCCTTGGGCTTCATGCTCGGGAGTTGCTCCGTGGTTTGGTTCTGTCACTCCTCGGCTCCATGCTTGGGAGTTTGGCACCGTTCCTTCGTTCAGTGGCCCAAGGCCTTGAACCTCAGGTTCCTATGGATAGGTGGCATGGACACGTGGCATGTGACATGTGGCATCTGTCACGTGGCACAAAGAGGGTTTAGGTTCCGCTTTGTGGTGTTATCCTATGGTAAATCACCATAGGATAAAGGGTAAAAACCACGTGCGCTACAATCTTCTCCAAGTAGACCATAGACATGTCTAAAGCAATAATAATCTTTAAAAGAGCTAACAATTGCATATACTTTATCAATTAGTCCACTATGACCACATTTGCTCCTTTTCCCTCTATGTTTAGGGCAAACAAGTCTATGGAGACCATGGAGATATTATACCAAGGTTGCAAAAGTCACCCTAGCTTCTTTTATGGCATTTTTACCCATTGACAATGCTTTCATAATTTGCAATACTTGAGGATATTAACTTTCATATTCCTCTAATAAAAATTGTGCTTAATCACATATATCTTCTTCCTGTAAGCTCTTGAATTTAAACTTCCCCAAATGTCATCCAACCCAATATTATTTAAATCCAAAGATGGTTAACCCCAAGTATCCTAAGACCTTTAACTAATTGAAAAAAGGAATGCATTTTTGTTCATTAGTTTTTTCCTTCTATATTTGAACCTTTACAGATTGTCTCTTGAGTTGTTATTTATAATTTTTTTCTAAGCCACCATACTTCTTTACAAATTTACACCCTTGTGCACAAAAGTTAAGAGCTATAACTCTCCTAAGAGCCTTGCTCTTTTAACACCTTACCCCTTTGGTTGAGCCCAGCCAAAGCAAACTAGACCACCAAATGTCAATCTCAACATATGGTGTGATTCTTTTATCCAATCAATAGAGTTGGATTTGAAACCTTTTTAATACTAAATGTAAACTTCTAAATTTAAGAGAGGTTACTGAGCCCAATACTATTCAAACCCAAGGATGCTTAACTTAAAATATTTTAAAACCTTTAACTAATTAGAAAAGGTGGCACACTCTTGTTCATAAGCCCTTTCCCTCTATACTTAAACTTCTATAGATCGTCTTTATTGTAAATATGGTTTTGGGTATTGAAAATTACTTGTCAACTAGTCCTTTTAAATATTCTTCTCTTATTGCTATGATGGTAAGAGATTAGTTTGTTAGTTCTTTTTAAAATCCCTTTTTTTCAAGTGTTAGTAAACTGGGTTTAGCATATATTTAGATGAATATAAAGTAGGAACTCTTATGTGTTTCTTGTTGAGTATCCTCAATTTGGTTTTTAGTTATTTTTTATTTTGTCTTGCATTTACTTGACAAGAACCTTTACAATTTTGAGTTTGGTCCCTCAATATCACTAGATAGTAGTTTACTGTGTCTACTAAGACACCCTCACTATCATGCCTTATGTGTTGGTTTCATCTAGTCCCATTGACTATTATGAAAAGTGTCTAGATCTACTAGTGAGGCATATCTATCGCAAATGTGACTACAGG